TATCAGGGAAGAATGAGCTGGTGTGGCCTGAGCTGGTGCAGCTCCCAGTGAAGTTGTACATCTTGGGTCTGTCTAGGTGGTGATAAATACTGAGCACCGGTCAGCTGACTGGAGCTCATGGGGCTATAAAATTGCACTGCAGGCAAGAGGGGGGGAGGGAGCCCAGGCTCGAACATCTACACTGCAATTTTACAGCCCCGGGAGCCCCCGTCAGCTGACCCAGGCCAGCCGTGACCACGCTGCGGTCTTGCAGTGCAGCTCTACTCTATTAAACCACATCTGAATTTGATCCCACATCTTCTCTTGTTTATATTGGTACTGAGACAGAAAATGCATCAGGCTACCAGTAGGGTACAGGTCATTTTCTATCACCACATTTCCCTACCAGAACTCTTTGAATCCCAACACTTTTATTCTCAAACCTTTAAGACAATCCTTTTAGGCTCTGCAGCTAGGAATTCTCAGTTCACATTCCATTCCAGATCATGATGGACACTGATGCCCAGGATTAGAAAGCTCTTAAAAGACTTGGAGACTTTATTCTTTTTCTTGTGTTTTGGTCAAATTTCCTAGCCTTAGTCTCTCATTGTTAGGAGTTAATGTGCTATTAATGCAATTTTTCACATAGAGTCTCCTGGTCTTAAAATGTGCATGCAGGGTTCCTATCTTCCCCAAATTGCCATTTTTAGTGAACTTGCTCCTTTATTCAAAGCTATTCTCTTGCAGTGATTTGTATTTTCATTATTCCTCTTTTCATTGTTCTACCAAACAGGCCATTCAAAAATAGTCAAAAGCATCTGGAACTAATGTGCAGCAATAGAGACCTGTGGAAATTATCTTGACTATTCAAATTCCCTCCCTTGCCCTTTCTTGCAATCCAGACTAACTTCTAGGGCTCCAAAAAACTGACAGCTTCACCATATCACCTCCATTGCATGTTCCTTATCTACTACCAAATTGAAGTATCAACCCAACCCATCCATGCACTTACTTCACTCACCCAGCAGGCTTCCTCATAGGTCTGGTCTTGTAACTATTCACTCCTGGGGGTTGTTCTCTCTCTAGTAATCCTACTTCAATCTAGACCACTTTCTCTCTTTACACGTCAACGTCTTTTGCCTGCAACTAAAAGCCTGCTGTTAACATTTTTTCAATACTGCATATTTAGAATCATGGACTGGAAGGGACCTCGATAGATCATCTAGTCCAGTCGCCTGCACTGAGGCAGGACTAAATAGTCTCTAGACCAGTGAAACTTAGATGGAGGTTCATCAGCCACAGGTGCCTCTTTAATGTGTCTCCTGCAGCTCTTTGCAGCACACATTAAAACAATATATGATTTAATTATTTACCAGCCAATCAGGATGCTTTTACTATGTTATTAACCAATTGTAGTTGATAAAAATAATAATACTTGGTCTGTCATCTTGCTGTGAGATATATATATAGTACTATAGTAAATGAAACAATGAATTCACACTACTTTGGCTCTTTTGGGTAACGCTGATCACTAATTTAACTGCTGAATCACTAAGGTCTGAGTATCACTGATCTAGACCCTCCCTGAGAGTTGTTTGTCTAACCCGTTCTTAAAAACCTCCAGTGATGGAGATTTCACAACCTCCTTAAGTAATTTGTTTCAGTGCTTAACTATCCTTAGACATTAGGAAAAACTTAATTGTAACATAAATCTCCCTTACTGCAATTTAAGCCCATTACTTCTTGTCCGGTCCTCAGTGGATAAGAAGAACAGTTTCTCAGCCTCCTGTTTATAACAGTCTCTTACATATTTGAAGACTTAGGTCCCCCCTCTGTCTTCCCTTTGCCAGATTAATAAACCCAGTTTTTTCCATCTTTCCTTGTAGTTCATGGTTTCTAGACCTTTAATCATTTTTGTTGATCTGCTCTACACTTTCTCCAGTTTGTCCACATCTTTCCTAAAGTGTGGTGTCCAGAACGGGACACAGTGCTGTAGCAAGTGGAAAAGTTACTTCATTCCTAAGTGTAGTATTTTGCATTTGTCTTTATTGAATTTCATTCTATTTATTTTTAGACCATTTCTCCAGTTTGTCAAGATCATTTTGAATTGTAATCCTGTCCTCCAAAGTGCTTGCAACCCCTTTCAGCTTGGTATTGTCCCAAACTTTTTAAGTCTATGCCATTATCGAAAACATTTGACGATATAGAATAGAAGCAGACCCAGGACAGATCCCTGCGGGTCCCCACTCAATCTGCTCTTCCAGCTTGACTGTGAACCATTGATAACTATTCTGAATGCTGTTTTTCAACCAGTTGTGCACCCCTCTTCTACTAGATGCTGAGGGGATTAGCTCAATGGTCTAAATTCAGATGTGCAAAATTTAGCATCCCAGCAGGGCAGGTTCAGCTCTTAGTGCTTAGGAAGTAGATAAAATTAGGAATTACTGCATGTGGTTGCCTTTTGACTGAGGCCTTATAAAACAGTGCTTTGCATAAATGCTAAAGATTCCCTGACACTTTTCATAAGAGTTCTCTTTTTTGGCCAAGGATATCAGAGAAATGAGGAGCCCTGACTGAGGTGAGAAGCTTGAACTTGATTCAGTAGAAAACCGGGATCCAGAGGAAAAAAGGCACATATGGGTGTGGTTAGAGGAATTGGGCAAGGAATATCACCTTAGTAACTGCAGTTTGGATAGATCAAAGGAAAGCAATGGGGATGGTGAAGGTCAGAAGATGTTGAGGGCTTGAACAGTTTAGGAGACTGCACAGAAAGGAAAGCTGGACTTTAGAAGAGTTTTATGGACAACGCAGTATTATGAGGATTAGGATTCAGTGTGGGGCAAGGGAGATGCCTTGATTAGAGGCTAGAGCGAGGGAAGGGGTAGTGAGAGCATCAGCACCAGAAAGGTGCAGGGGTGGGAGAAAGATGTATTTAGTCTGTAACTGGGAAAAATCAGCTAGAGTCTACTTTACAATCACCAGTTAAGTGGTGAGTCACAGATAAATGACATCACAACACTGCTACTGCAGTTACACCTAAAGGCTACAACCAGGTTGGGCCCATAGTGCTAGGGACAGTGCAGACCCCAATAATAGACAGTCCCTGCCCTAAAGAGCTCAGAGTCTAAGACGATGCCATAGCCATCTGACCTCCTGGGTGTAAGTGCTTTTTAAAAATTTTGTTTGGTTTTTTAAACACATTTACATTCACATTCTGACCAGCTGAAGACAACGAAATTGACCAGGGATAAATTTTTCAAAAGCACCAAAGTAATTTAGATGTTGAAGTCCCATTCTCCAGAGTATCTTAAGCACTTGTATCCATTTTTTCAAAGTATTTAACTCTGAGAAATCAATGGGAGTTGGGTGCCTAAATACCCTGAAAAATCTGGCCCTTGGGAGCCTAAATCTCTTTGAAAGCCAATGGGTCTTCAGTTTTAAAAATCTTACCCTAGAACTAATCAAGTGTACAAACTGCCAAAGTTAAACCTACCTAGAGTCCCCTATTCTCATAATCTTTTTGGAGAGCACCCTAACTTATGCTCAGCAGCAGAAAACAGAGAGAGGTGTGAGGGAAAGTTAACAGAAAGGAATTGCAAACAGAGGTAGTAACAGTGCAGAAAATGCCCAAGTAGAGAAGAAACTGTCAGGTTGAAAAAGTAACAATTCAAACAACATAAGAATAAGCTGAGCTACCCATTCTGCAAGGTAACACCCAAGAGACCACACTTGCTTCTCTGCCACAGGGAAGACCTTAAGCCCACCCCGAGAACCAAGGTCTCTCAGGATATATCTATAATGCGTTGTAAACCCAGGTCTGTGAGACAAAGGCTTGTGGACTCAGTGTTTCCAAGCCCATGCTTGAGCATCCATTGTAAACCTGGATTTACAATTGCTGAACCCACATGTCTCAACCATGCTAACATGTCCATGCTGCACTACAGAAGTCTTCTGAGTCGGGTCTACGGCTTGAGCTGCATTCACATTGCAAAATGACTGGGCTTGGACCCAAGTCACATAGAGACTGGGGCTCTAACCCACCCACCTACGAGGGTCTCCTGGGGCTATAAAATTGCACTGTAGGCAAGAGGGGAGAGGGAGCCCAGGCTCGAACATCTACACTGCAATTTTACAGCCCTGTGAGCCCCAGTCCTGGATGCTTACTGACCTGAATCAAACTAGTGTCTGTGTGTGGATGAAAGGGCAGCTTGGACACTAATCTGATTCAGAGGTGGGTTTAGTGTGCAGTGTAGACACACCAAAAGGGAAATTAAGAAACTATCCTCCATGGGACTGAGTGCCCTCAGCAACTCACAAAGTCATGCCCTCAATTCAAAGTATTTCAAGGATATAGACTGTTGGTTAGATGAGATCATAACACAACTAGCATGCTCTTGCTTAATCTATTTACTTACAGTTAATTGCGGTAGCTCTCCGAAGGAAGCTGTGTGCTTGTTTTGGAGTATGGGGCACTTACTACATAATTCCCCAGAGTATCCTTACTCTCTATCTGCTTCTTGAGGCAATTCAAGGTGGTGTATTGATTTATAAAGCCCTCTATGGCCTAGGTACTGGCTTCCTAAGATGCCCATCCCTCCTCTTCACCCAGCAGATGAAATGAGTTCGGGCAGTTCTACTGACACTCCCTTGGTTTACACATCTGGGATAAGTGGCAGCACATTCTCTGAACTGCCCTCGAAGCCGCTAATCTACACAGGCTGGAGGAGGGTGGTTAGAGGAATAGGCCTGGACCAGTAAGCCACTCACATCAATGATCATGTTGTTTTAGAGTGCCTGTGTGTATACAGACCTGTGAGGGAAGGAGGGATAGGCACCTTTAATACAACAAAAAGTTGCAAAAAATTAAATATAAAAGTAGTAGTAGAAAAAATAAATGGTGACAGCAAAAGCAGATGGTCATCAGTCCCAGCTCTGAATAAAGCCAGGCGGATACTAAACCAGCAAGCCACGTAGTTCTTGGAACAGTTGCCAGTGACAAGGTGCATTAACCCTGCAGAGAAGCGAAAGCAGTAGATGAAGAATGCAGTCCAAGTGGAAAGTTGAGAGTTTTGGTGATTTTACAGAGAACGTGGATAAAATCAGAAATAAAAAGACTCATAGACTCTAAGGTCAGAAGGGACCATTATGATCATCTAGTCTGACCTCCCGCATGATGCGGGCCACAAAAGCTGACCCACCCACTCCAGGAAGAATTCTCTCCCTTGACTCAGCTGTTGAAGTCCCCAAATCATGATTTAAAGACTTCAAATCGCTGAGAATCCTCCAGCAAGCGACCCCTGCCCCATGCTG